CCTATGCGCTGCTTAGAGGCTAGTGGCTCTCCCCAGGGTGGGCCTATGGACGTGGCTCCTCCCATCCTCCTTGGCCTCTGGTCAGCAGTTTTTATGCAATTCAGCTCATTGCTTCTTATTCCCAGATGGAGAACTAGAAGCTCAGAGAGACAGGCAACTTGTCCAAAGTCACAAAGCTTGTAAACAATGAAACTAGAGTTCATACTCAGTCCCCTTCTCTGACCCAAACCTCAAAGGACCCAAGAGGGGGCTCAAATTGTCTGAATTAGAGAAGCCAGGGTTGATGGGAGATTTGATCCAAGAGGAATTTTGGAAGGAAGGGGAATTTTAAAATTGCACAATTGCCCTGAGAATATGGGCATGGGCTCCTGCTGTAACAGGAAAAACAGAAACCAGAGCTTTCTGAGCAAGGGGGGACACATGTGCTTGGGCCTGGCTGACTGCCAAGCAGGTGCCTCCTCTCTGTGACTCTGAGGTGTGCAGTGCTTTGGCAGATGTCAGGCTGAGGTTCTGTGGCATTCCAGCCCCGCGACTGAGGGAGGTGAAGAGGGATCTACAGGAGAGGTAGGCAGTGTTTCTGTCTAAAATAGTCAAGAAGGCACGTGAGGGCACCCCTGGAGAACGGGGCGTAGAACCCATAGAGAGAACCACGCAAGGAGGAGGAGAGGGAAATCCCATGGGGCCATGAGGGCGGCCTCTCGGCCCCATTCTGGCCGGGAGAGGACACACTTGTGTGTGCACAATCCCACATGTGCACAGATGTGTTCCAGGACAAGGGGACAGACATGATTTCATAACATCTCTTCTCTAAACCAGTGTTTGCTCTCTTTCAGATGATAGCTGGGCTCTAAAGCGGTGCCAGGTTGGCTCTTAGAGTCAGTGTAGGCTGCCCAGTGGAGGTGCCAGTCTAGTGGGCAGAAGCCCCAAAGGGTGAGGGTCCATGTCACTCGAAGCCTGGCTGGGCTGGCCTCCCCCGCTGCTGGATCTCCACTGGAGCAGCTCAGCTTTCTGCCACTTGAGTCCCATGTCTTCTGCGGTGATTTTCAGAACCCCTAGGAGATGCTTGTCCAAATGCTCACCCAGGGCCCGCCTGACTCCTGACTGTGCCAGTCTAATCTGCTAGAGCGGTCTCGGACTCTCCAGAAAGGCACGTATGGGCGCCACTGGAGAACAGGGCACAGAACCCATAGAGAGAACCGCCACCCACTCCTCCTCCTGCCCTTTCTGTCTGTTACTTACTCGGGCCACCTCTTCCCTCCTAGCACTGTTACTTGTCCTTATAAAGGGTTGGATAAATGTTTTAAAAGAATGGGGACTTTCCAGTAAACACAGCAGATTGAACACATCCACTTATTTCTGCTTTTGTCCCAACCTTTCACCAAAATGACAATAAGGGAATTAAAAATGTATAAATCCACAAGGGCAAAAAGAATAGGAGAAGAGACGATAGCAGATGAGAGACATCAACGAAATTCTGGAAGCTGGAAACAGATGGGCCTGTTATGTCTGCTGCAGGGACAGCGAGGCTGAGGCTGAGGACCGTCCCGTGCAGTCTGGGAAGGCCCAGGACACGGAGATGCTGGGTCCTGCTGTGGGGTCGGCAGGGCAGGACTGACAGTGAGAAGACTGGCTGGAAGTGTATAAAAAAGGAGGTGGATGCTCAAGCCCCTCCTCAAGCCTTGCGGAAGGCAGAAGGTTCCTGTCTAGAGGGGCCGGGCCCATGGGCTCTAGACTGCAGGCTGGGAGCTGGACCATTCCTGCACAGAGAGAGGTAAGGGCAACCCCTCCCACCCCGCCAGGCTCTTTACCATTCAACCCCTGGAAGACCAAGAGCCTAGCAGGTCTAAGAAACACAGTACAAGAGAAAAACCCAAATAGTAACAGGCTGGAGTTTCTTCAGAGGATCAACCAGGTCCTCACCCAATCACCCCCAAATGAAGCCACTGGTTAACAAGCAGCCCCCAGCATATTCAGTTATAAGCAGGCAGCTAAATGTGAACGTAATCTTAGCTGTGGATGACAGCCAAGGCTCACTTCCACTTGGGAAGAGGCTCCAGTGTGAGAGGCACTGGAGGGGTAACAAGGGTCCTTAGCACCCTGAGAGGACAGGACATGGTCTCCTTGAAACAGGAGCCCTCCAAGAGGAAGAAGGGCCCGGCAGAAAGAAAAAATTCAACAGACGACTTGGAAAACACAGAAATTCCTCTGAAGTGGAACAAAAGTCACAGATGCAAATGAGGAGAAAAGTGAAAAAATCAGAGGAACAGCACCCCGTGAGCAGGGAGGAATGATCCACAAAATAACATTTAACGCCATATTTTCACATGGAAGAGATCATTATGTGCTTATAAGCAAGAGTCACAGAAAGGCATAACATGATGACATTTTGAAACACTGAATATGTAAGAAAACATCCTAGAGACTTTCAGAGAGAAAACAAAAGATCACATACAAATGACCGGGAGTCAAGGTAACACCAAAGCTCTTAACAGTGGGGCTGGGGATTTGATTCAGCGGCACAAGCACCTGCCCGGCAAGTGTGAGGTCGTGAATTTGAGCTCCAGTACCCCACACCACCAAAAAAAATCTTAACAGCATTATATACTGAAATATAAAGGGTGGAATAACTTTATATTATGAGGAAAATAATTTCTATTCCATACTTCTATACCCAGACAAACTATCAACAAACACAAGTATAGAATAAACATAGCTTTCAGAAAAGTGAAAAAAAAAAAAAAAACTTTTCCCATGAATGCTTTTCCTGGAAATCACTGAAGGGTGTACTCCAGCAAAATCAGAGTATAAATTAACAAAGGCAAAAATATGAGACCCATGGCACAGGGATTCAATACAGGAGAAAGACAAAGAAATTCACAGAGTGACTTTTTCCTTCACTATGCCCACTCCGAGCCATCAAGCCTTTTGTCACTTGGCCTTCAAAACACCATGCAAGTCAGCTGATCCTGACTGAGGCGGAAGAAGGATCCTCCAGAGATGACATAGCCAAGAAAAATACCAACCATTCTTTAAAAAAAAAACAATATACTTTTCACCTACTAAGAGGAGGTATTCAGCTATCCCAGAATATTTAGAGATGAATAAGCCACAACTTCAAAGAACAGTAGGCTAACAAAAACAGAGAGGAGATTATTAATTCTAGGGAAAACAAAAGAGGAACTATAATTCTAGTATATTGCATGGCTCAGCTATGAATAACATTTATATAATCATTATAGTGTGCATGCTAAACACTATTTTGGCTAGAAGGGGGGATGTAGCTATGCTTGGAGGAATAGTGGGGAACATAAAGAGTGGGGTATGCATGTGTGTACAGCGAGATGAGGTGGGAGGGTTGTGCATGTGAAATCCTCATCCTTTGCAGCAGAAAGCCCATAGTCTAAAGCCCTACGATTTGCAAGCGTGTGATACAGGGTTAGATGAGTGTCAGTCACTGAACAAGGCTGTCTAAGGGTGGGAACGGACGGACAGAGCACTACTGTTTTATTATAAGCCAAGCTGTACTATTAGGCTTCTAAACTCAAACATATGTTAGTTTGATAAAAATAAACGTAAAAATGAAAACCAGTGTGTCTGCCTGTGGCTGGATGTCTGAGTGGCCTTTTCCCTTCCTGCCCTGCCCCTGTGACAGGTCCTGGACAGCCACTGCCCTAAGGATTCGTCCTCCACAGCATTCTTCATTTCGTTTCTCAGACACCAACCCTGGCTCTGCTTTTACCGCATGGCAACATCTCCAGACCCCTGGCATCCCCATAGAAGGATCAGAGGTCCTGCCTCCAGGTTCATCTGTCACTCTGTCCCCCAGCACCCTACTGTTTTGCCCAGACTGATTACACACCAGCCCTGAAGTGGGGGTCCCCCCCCTTCTTGGGTGGCCATTCCTTCTTTTCCGCCTCATTCCTCTGATATTCCTCAGGTTAGCTATCACCTCCCTTCTTTGGAGAGGCTGTTGGCCCCACAGGGCTTCCAGAACCCTGGGATGCGGTGGTATGCTGGACACGGAGGGCTGGCGCACCCTGGTCAGAGGGACATGTAGGTCTTCCCCCACCTGCTCAAAGCTTGTTCTGTTGCCAAGTATGACATTCGAGTGTGAAATGCCCCCAGCTCCTTCCCATTCAGAGACTAAGGTGACTTTTCTCACTCCACACCAGCTCATTAATGACAGTAGAGTCTGGAAATCTCCCTCAATGTCACCTCCTTCTGGCACCATTTAGGCCACCTCAGTTGCTGACCAGCAAATGTGGTGGGAGTGCTGGGCAGCACAGTACCAGGCACCAGGGACAGCACACAGGTGGCAGACCTGCCTGGCAGCTGGCTGAGGTTACCTGCAAAGAAAGAAGGAGATAGGAAGGACCTGACGGCCATGCAGCCCATGGCAGGCTGCTTCCAGTGCCAAGCAGTGTATCCCTTCCCTCCTGGCAAGGCTTCCCTCATCTTCTCTGGGGATGGCAAAAGTGGCTGAGAATATAGGCAGGAATTGGGAGGTCTAGTCTTTGGCTGGCCAGAGCAAAGTTCACCTGTGTCCCAACCTGATCAGTTAGTCTGATTGGCTGTGGGGAGCAGCATCCTCTCCAACCAGCTGCTGATCTTCAAGGAGAAGGTGGGATCCAGTAGGAGACAATTATCTTCATGCTCATTGGCCTGACTGGGAAAAACCCAGATGTAGCCATCCCCAACTCTGGCTCACATCCTGGGTGCCCTCCAGGAATCACACGTGTGACTTCCTTCCCTGTCACTGTGGGTTACTACTGGGAACATCTGATGCCTCAGTTCTATCATCCAGGAAATGGGTGCAGCAACCCCTCAACCTGCCTTCTGCATAGAGTTGGAATAGAGATCAAATGAGCTAATACAGGGAGAGGATCCCTAATTCAAAAATTTGAAAACTGAAATGCTAAATCCATGTGAATATCCCAAAATCTATGCAAATATTCCAAAATCTGGACCCAGGCCTTTTTAAAAAATTGTTTTCCTGGGCAGGGAGGTGCACCATTCCTGGGGGTACTGTAATGCTAGGTTGATGTGTGAAGTGGATGGAGCAAGCTCTTATTCCATCTTCCAGCTCCAAAGATCCATTTAATATATTGTCCTCAGATAGAGGACATATCAGATATTAAACTGATAAGAACAGACACTATACTTGATCTTAGCCAAAAGGCCGAGAAGCAATGGGCCCAAGCTTTTTGGATAAGGGGTACTTAACCTGTTAGTGGGAAAATACTTTCAGAAATCCAAGGCCAGCAGGGAAACCTCACCTCCCGCTACAGAGGCATCAAATCCCAAGAAAAGAATCCTGGGAGTAGGGCGTGACCTATGGCAGAGCTGTCCTGATTCTGGGTCAGCTGGGTCCAAGACATCGTCCCTGAGCCCTGAGCTATAGGGACTGAGGTATGAGATGGTCCTGAGGTTTGGCAGATTTTGCAAAGTGGCAATTGATAGATATATGGTGTCTCTAAGAAAAAAAAAATTTTTAAAAAGAGACTTTCATGGGTCTAGGATAACAATGATTTATATCTACTGAGGCCAATCCCTGTTTGAAAAGCTTTATGTGCATTCTTTTGTACAATCCACACGGGGACCTGTGAAGCAGGCAGTATTCCCACCGCCATATGATAACATCGGGCTGCTCTCCTAACCAGCACCCCCTGCTGTTCTCAGTACCTGGAGAGCAGAGCTGCCCCAGCCCAGGAGTAGGGGGGCCCAAGGTGACCTTGGGAAACTGGATCCTGTCATCCCAGCTAACTGCTAAGGACTACTAACTATGGTTAAGGGGTGCTGCCAGGTGGCGTGGGCTATCCAGAGGTTCCTGCTTCCGAAGTGACAGGTGTCAGGGTTCTTCAGGAAAGTGTTGGAAGTGGAGGAGTCAGTTCTCTGGACCTGTCAGGTTCCTTCATTCCCTCATCCATCCTGCGTATGTTTAGGGAGCAATACCATGGGAGACCGCATTGGCTGAACGCACTTTGCTCTTCTTTTCAGCAGCAAAACATTTACTCATGTGGAGGAAGACAGAGGTAGTGGGAGGGAGCAAAGCCACCAGGGCATCTGTGGCTTCTGTGCCAGATGCACCACTTTTGTGCTATGTGACCACAGAGAAGTTGGACAGTAGGCTTATTCCTAAGAGTGAGGTAGACATAATAAAATATGATAGCCCCATGGGGTTATCATGAGACCTACGAAGGTCACTGGGCGCAAAGTGCACAGTGCCTAATAGGTGCTCAATAAATGTTAGGTTCTATATAATGGTCTTACCTCATGCAGCAGGGGTACAGGTTAAGAGTGCAAATGTAGGTAGACGAGGGTCTGTAAACCGGCAAAAGCTCTTGCAAATGTCACCCAAAGTGGGGAGGTCTGGAATGACAGTGGATGGCTCTGAAGGCTGAGTCCCTGCTCTGCTCTCAGCAGAGGGGAAAGCCCCAGGGAGCCAGCTGGTTGGCACGCAACCCCCACCCCCATCCCAAAGGGGCTCTGTCTCCCAGCCCCCACATTCATTCATTCCCTCTCAAGATGATGAATCATGTTAAACAAAATGAATATGCAAATCTCCTTAGGGCGGGCCTTACATCTTCAGGAAGCTGCTGCTAATAAATGGATTCTTTATTAGGAGACAGTGCAAGCAATGTAACATCTCTGCTGTCCCTCCTCCTCTTCCCCTTGGGCTCCTCCCACCCTTGTACCTGTTGTCACCAGGCACATGTGTACTCTGGAGGGGAAGGACACCCACATTTGGAGGATGGGACAGACCTGGTGCAGTTTTTACCTCTCCTAAAGAAGTCTCCCTTCCCTGGGGCTGCTGTGGCCCCATGTGATTGCCATTCAGGCAGTGAGATGTGATAAGTGGAACCCATCACTTGGTGCCTGGAGGCTTACAGGGCTGGCAGAGTCAGAAGAGGCTTCAGATCCAGCTATAGAAGAGATGAGGGGCTGATGAGGTCTGGGAGAGAAAGGGTTGCCCTGCCCTGGTCCTGGCAGGAAGAGAGAAGCAGGGAGGCTCCATGAGCCCAACACTTGGGAAAATTAGCCTCAGGAGATGACAAAGGTTGCGCAGGCATAGCTAAAGAGAGTTTATCCCCTACAGTGGTTTGCTCCCTGGGTGCATGATGGGGTCCCCACCAAACGAGCTTGTAAAAAGTGACAAGGTGAAACCAGAGACAAGTGTGGTGGTACACACCTGTGATCCCAATACTCTGGGAAGCCAAGGCAGAAGGGTTGCAAGTTGGAGCCTACCCTGGACAACTTAGTGAGTTCCTTCCTCAAACTAAAAATTATTTTTGACAAAGAGATGGGGTTGTACCTCAGTGCAAGGGACTTGGGTTCGATCCCTGGTACCCTTCTGGGAAAAAAGCATCAGGGCCAGGCTATTGGAAGCCTCAGCATTTCCTGAATTCCCAGAGGAATTCTCGTGTCCAACCAGGGAGGAGAAGCGCCACACTGGCCACTGAGCCCATATTACAAATGGGAAAGCTGACAGGCCAAGGAGTCCACAGGACTTGGCCGTGGCCACTCAGATGGCCATGGTTTCAGACTGCAGATGCCTGCTTTTCTGCTTCCTCCTTGATGTCCCCTACCTCATCCCAACTAGAATGGGAAAAGGGCTCCCAACCACATACCATTCTCTGCTTCTAAGGAACAGTGTCTGGGGAACACAAAGGGTCTGGATTAGAGTGGCTCCTGTGTCACCCTGGACAAGGCACAGCCCTGTACTCTTCAGATCCTTGTCTATCTGGTTCAGGATCTGAACATGTCATCTCCACATTACTTCTCTTCCTGCCCCATAGGGTGTGGCTGTAAGTTCTTCCTAAAATCTAACCAGAGGATGTTCCGCTGTAAAGCCAGCCCCGTAGCTGTCTTCAGAGTACACGGGGCAGCACATTCTGAAGTGAAAATCACTGATGTCATTTCTCTCTCCCTTTCCTTTGCTTAAGAGGCTGGCTCTCTGCTGAGATGCAAGCCACTGTCACAGTTAAAACAGTTTAAAATGCCCTGCTGTGGCCATGGGCACTTACCCTATGCCAAGACCCAGGGCACAGCCCATGCACCAGGACCATCAGCCAGAGGAGGGCCTTCTGGGGAGGGTAAGGGCACCGTGGATCAGGAAACCAGAGGCCTGTCACATTGCTGCTCTGCAAGGATAGCAGGAACTCCAGAGATTAGGAGACAATCCCAGATCCTTGTCTTCTTCCCCTGTCTCACTTTTGTGTGTCCCAGGCAAGTACCAAAGCTTGGTGAGCCTGTTTCCTAATCCATGAGGTCCTAAACTAGGGGCTCCAGGGGAAGCAATGGTCCTTTGACATAGTCCAGAGCCTGACCCTCAGGAGCACTTGCTGGCCTTGTGATCGGCTTCATTATTGCCAGGTAAGAGCAGCCTCACAATTTCCTACTTAGGTGGGAGCATCCCACAGAACTCCACCCATGTGAGGAGGCTACCTTGGAAAAGGAGGGTCCTGACTGTGCTATCCTTGGGAGGATGGGGCTGGGGTGATGGCATGTCTGCCCTTGCCATTCCAGGGAGCTCCCCTAAGCAGGGACTATGGCAGGGTCCAATTTGTTGGTCTATGCTGGCAGACCAAGGCCTGCTGAACTTGACTCCAGCTTCAGGGACACCCTAAGTCCTGAAACTGGCAGACTGTAACCAGCAGCCTGACCCGTAGAAAAGATGGAGACCCAGAATCTCAGCTGCCCCTGCTGTAGGGCAACCATAGCCTACAAATGGCCTCTCTGAACCTAACAACACCTGGACCAGGCACTTACTTGTGGTTCAAGCTGATGACCAGCAGGGCAGGGAGCTCCGAGGACCTCCCAGAGATGGGTTTCCAGAGCAATGGTTCTCCTATCCCTCTTCTCCAGGTCCAGCATGCTCCCACCCTAACAGCTCTGGGGCACACTGGCCCTCCCCCAGAAGGCAGGCAAACAAGGTAGGAATTGCAAATGCCTTTCATTAAGCGGGGTGCTAACACCATGAATTATAAATGAGCCCCAATGAAGAGGACCCTGGCAGTCTCACCTCCGTTTGATATTAATTGGGCGACACTTTGTTTTAATGGTACATTAATTAATGTGGAATTTCGATGGAAGTCCGCGTGACACTCACATTAATACAAATGAATTCATTACCGTCGGTGTTATTACAAGAAATGACAAATAAATCTGTAACAGTGGGACCCTTCAAATAATAATCACGAATCATTAGGTCTGCTCCTCGTTTGTACCGTAGCTTGCAAATATGTGTATGTTTGCTGTTCTGACGCGTGAGCCTTTGGATCTTTCTAGGCTGGAGGAGGCAGCTAGTGGTGGAAGGGGAAGCCTCTTCCAGAGTACCCTGCATCCACTTTTCCTCCCCATACAGCCTCGTAGGAACAGAGTCCCCCATATCAGGAGCATGACTAAGGTTGGTTCCCTCAAGGCACCCCAAAATAGCAGGACTATTTTTGCTTCTTTGGAGCAATAAGCAAGGTCCTAAGAGATCATCTTGGAAGAAAGCAGAAGACTGGCAAGAGGAACCCAGATGAGGATACACTCCCAAGTGATTGGCACCTATACCACAGCGCTACGCAACCCAGGGACTTCTCAGATTTAGCCTCAGGATTCCTGACCCAGCACACTAAGGCAGCTTCCATCAGTGCATGTAACATGAAAACTGTTTGGTACAGTTTTTAGAGATCTTCCCCTGGAGGGCTTTAAAATAGGACCCAGTTCCTTCTGATGGGGATGCTCAGGAGCAGTTCAGTTCCGAGGCCAGGAGACTGATGAAAGGACTTCCTGGGCTCTTCCAACCTGGCATAGCAACTTCGTGACTCAGAGGAACCTCCCAGTCCTGCAGGAATCAGCCAGTCTTTTACTCCTAGCAGCTTTCTGACCTTTGGCTAACAGATGACAACATGAAAGCCAAACCCATTTCTCCCTCCTTGGAGCCTGTGGGCCCTACCAGTGGCCTGCCCTCTGCTCCGTCCCAGGAGTCCTAGCCAGGGCAGCTGCCACTCCAAAGGCCAGGACTCAGCTGATTTGGGGTGGGCTGCAGCCTGCAGCTGGGTGTGGGGGCCCCAACCCCCCATCTCATTCCCTTTTCCCTCATTCACCGGTGCTGAATGAGCCAATTAATCACCTGACACTGTTAACCATACTAATTACCCTCGCTTCTGAAACTTGTGGAACAATTATTTACTGTCTCTGCCT